TCTTGTGGGGTTTTTTTTCTTCCTTAACATTTGGTGTAGATTCAAATGTACACATGCAAAAACTACAATGCACTATATTATTTGCTTCTGTAAATTCTGGGAGAAAAAAGTTGATTTTTATTTGTAATAAATTTATGCTCTAATATACTGAGATCTGTTTTATGTAGTTTCAGAATACGTTTTCAAAATTATCACAGAACTTTAAAAGAGTCCTTTTGTTTGTAGCTTGTCGACCAGGTTTCTACAAGGCTTCGGACGGTAACATGAAGTGCGCCAAGTGCCCGCCTCACAGTTCTACTCAGGAAGATGGTTCAATGAACTGCAGGTGTGAGAATAGTTACTTCCGAGCAGACAAAGATCCTCCATCCATGGCTTGTACCCGTGAGTAGTTTTGCTGCAACCCATGCCTCCATGTTTGGTTTAGTTTGGTTTCTGTTCTTGTTACTATGCGGTTTGTGTCTTTGCTTTTTGTCTTTTTGTTTTTCTCAAAGCACTTGACCCATTTCCTTCGTTATCCATGTGCAAATTGAAAGCTTTCTCTGCTTCCATCTCCATGCTTGGCTCACCACAAACGCAACATTTATCATAAAAAATAAATTTGTTTTTTCAGCACTTCCTGCACTGCGACCCCTAGAAAGAAAGAAAATTGTGTGTATCTTGTTTTAGATCTTGCGTTACATTTGACAGGATGGGGGGGTATAGACAGAGGATTTATGTTTTTACATATGTATTCCCTCTTGGTGTATGTTGGTCATAGGTCACAGGGAAAAAGAACTAAGATTTATAAAACTAATTCTAAAGTTTTCACAACTATTCACAAGGGTATTGAACTTAGTGGTAAATTCCTTTGTTGGACTTTGTGATGCATCCTCGACCTGGAGTCAAAACTCCCCCATTCATAGCATGGGGGAGATAGTGCTCTTGAATCTATGTTTCTGTAATCTCATGGATCCTCTGAGGATGAATTAAAAGCAGATAATAGACAGGATGGTTATTTACCTCTTTCAGTTAAATCGTAAATTATCTATTTCCCTTGTTGTAGAAAACAGAAGTGAGGCTCATTAATCTTTGTTGAACTACTTTGCAGGACCTCCATCTGCACCAAGAAATGTTATCTCTAATATAAACGAGACCTCGGTTATCCTGGACTGGAGTTGGCCCCTGGACACAGGAGGCCGGAAAGATGTTACCTTCAACATCATATGTAAAAAATGTGGGTGGAACGTAAAACAGTGTGAGCCATGCAGCCCAAATGTCCGCTTCCTCCCTCGACAGTTTGGACTCACCAACACCACGGTGACAGTGACAGACCTCCTGGCACACACTAACTACACCTTTGAGGTTGATGCCATTAACGGAGTGTCAGAGATGAGCTCTCCACCAAGACAGTTTGCTGCAGTCAGCATCACAACTAATCAGGCGGGTGAGTACACGCTGGACTCTTTTTACTCTACAGTATCAAATCTCAGTGATGGTTTTGTCAGAGAGAATGGGAAAAGAGGAGAGGAAAAAAAAAAGATTTGAAAGCACCCCAGGATTTTCTTTCCTCTTACAGATTTAGACAGTCATGGTACATTAA